CTCACCGTCAGCTTTTCTGGTTGGAGCAGCCTGTGCCTGAGCTCATGCCCACCCTTTCTCCCTGGGATGCCCAGAGCCCTTTGGCCCGTAGCTGAGGTCAGTGCCCTGGGGCTGGAGGGTGGGGCTCAGAAGGTGGGTGGGTTGGTGGGGTGCACGCACAGCGAGGGTGGGAGGCCACCCTGCCTCCTGTGCTCAGCATGGTCACTGGGTTGGTTGTTTTAAGTATTGTTTTTAGGTTCTGGAGAATTTTGTGATCCTGAAGGTGAGAATACACTCTCGCTGGGTCACGTGGACACCCAGGGTTGGTGTTCCTGGCACCTGCCCTGAGTTCGGGTTGGGCACTCAGTTTGGGATGACACGCCCCGGGGTGCGCAGTTGCTGTCACTTTGTCACTTACCAGAGTGCTGCTGGACACCTCTCATTCCCCTCCCCCAGGGCAGCAGGGCTGTAGTGTTGACTCTGGGGGTCCTGGAGGTGAGGACACACCCAGGACAGTGGCCCTGGGAGGGACGAGGACCCAGGTTTGTGTGCGGTACTTTTAAGCCTCCTGCTTGGGACCAGAGAGGCCAGCGTCATTGCACCCAGCCCCAGTTTTCCGAGGCTGGTGTTTCTGCTGTTGTGGGTCACGTGGAGCTTGCTGCACCGAGGAGGCGACTGGAGATTTGGTGTACTTCCTTTGTTGTACGTGTAAGAACTGGGACAGCCCACGCTGACACCACACGTGGGTCTGTCGGCCTTGGTGTGGGAGGTGCCGGTTGCGCTCTCCTGCCTGGTTCTGGGTAGGTTCTGCTCTGGGCCTCCGTGCCTCCCTTTGTGATGTGGCACAGCTACCTGCAGGGCGTCAGGAGGAACAGGGCCTGTGGGACCAGCACCCTCTAGCCCCTGCAACCACAGGAGGGAAGCCCACAAGGTAGGGTGGGAGTAACTGAGAGCCAGAGCAGAATTTGGGGAGGGGGTGCTCCCCGGTCGCTGGCCCCTGTGGCAGAGCCCTGTCGGCATGCTGTGGTGGAGAAACCACAGTCGGGCAGTGCTGTTGGGATTCCCATCCACCTGGGAGAGGTGTCCTCCCTCGGGGTCATGAGGGTGGCCTGCCCAGGGCTGAGCCCAGGGGGGCCCGATGTGGGGCCATGGAAGGGGCTTGGTGCTAAGACTGGACAGGCCACCTCCGTGTCCCCCTGAGCATCTCCTGATCCATCTCAGCCCATGCTCCTGGTGCCGTTGCTGAGGGTGGGTCCCCTTTCACAGGTGTTGGCTCAGGACACCCAGGCCTCTGGTGAGCAGGCACCAGCGCAGCAGGGGGCCTGGGGGCGGAGGTCACGTGAGCGCATGCCGGACCGGGCTCGGAGTGGGTGCAGCTGGAGGCGCTCGAGGGCTCTTTACCGCCTTCCCTCGCCTGCAGGTGTGTGAAAATCTCCAGTAAGAAGGCTGCCGTGGAGCCCTCTCCCTGTGTTTCTCTTTCTTCCGAGGTTGCCTCCGCTCCGGGTCTGACGGTGTCCAGGGACAGCGAGGTGCGCCTGGGCAGCTGTCTTGCCTCGCTCAGCCTCGGGCTCTGGCTGCCCAGACCACCCCGGCTCTCCCAGATGCCACCTTCCCTGGAGCCTGGGTTTGCATGGCTTGTCTGTAGGGCCTGGCCACCTGGCCCACTGGCCACCACGCCCTCACGCCCTCTTGTCTGTCTCATTCGAGGCTGTAGACTCAGTGCAAAGTGAGGGCTTTGCCTGGTCCTTGGGGGTTTGGGCTTTTGGAACCCTCCAGTTGTCTTGGGGACCCCCGTCAGGGGCACTGAGGTGAGCAGGGCTTGTGGTGCCCATGCTCCTCCCTGCCGCCCATGCCCGGTGTGGGCAGCGTGTTCGCTACCTGCAGCCTGTGGGGCCGGCGCTTCCAGGCAGCTTCTGGGGGACCTCACTCTCCGGGTGCTCGGCTGTCTCACAGGGACGGCATGTTTGCTTCCTGTTTCCCCGGTGCCGTGGGGACAGGCTACTGGGCAGAGGCCCCCCACGGGTGGGGTCTCCCTGAGCTTTGTGAGCCGCCTTCACATCCGCCTGTTGGATGCTTCTCTGGGAGGGCACCCTCCTGCATTCACCTGCTGGACATGTGGGTCAGCTCTGTTCCTGTCACTGGTCTCCATTGCCCAGACTGTCACCTCAGTCGGATGCTCCCTGACCCCATAGTGGGCACTGTCATCACCCCACATGTGGCTTGACCTGGCACCGGGACACGTGGACATCTCACCCCCACCCCCAGAGGCCTCTGGTGCCTGCACGAGGCTGCAGAGGTGCCCTCCCTGCCCTGTATCAGGCCGGCACCTGGCGGCCAGATAGCATGGTGGGTGTGGTGCCAGGTGCAGGGGAGTGGGGGCTGGAGCAGCTGGAGGAGCAGGGTTACCCCGGGGGCCCGTACCCTGCAGCCCCTTCTGTCCACCCTCTCACACCCGCCCCCATTCTGAGCAGCTGAGGGTGACTGGAAAGTCACACAAGGCCTCCGCTCTCTGGGCAGGTTGGGGGGGGCAGTGAGAGGTCAGGGCCTCGAGGAGGAGAGTAGGTCAGCTCCAGCGCGTCTGGAAGTTTCAACACGAGGCCACAGCGTGCAGGGTCTTACCCTTGGAGAAGGGATTAATCCTCCTGGGAGTCCCAGGTTATAAGGTTTTATGCACGTTCCTGAGCTGAAGAGTCTAGTTTAACAGGCGCACCCCCTTTCTCTTGATGGAACTTGTCTCCACTCTGTTGTGTAGACGTCATAGATCTCCCGTACGAGCTGGGAAAATCGGCGTGAAGTAAAGACACATCGGGAGATATGAGTGTCTCGTAGCCTGAGCTTGGGGTGGGCTATGCCCTGGGCTTAGGCCCCTTGATCTCTGGGGAAACCAGTTAAGGCCAAGGAAGTGGAGCCAGCCTGGAGACCGCTCTGTTTGTAGAGGCAGAGACACTGTCCGCAGCGTCCGGCGTCTCCTGGCCCAGCGCCTTCCCAGCCTGTGTTCCCACATGCCACAGCCCTGACGTGGGGCAGATAGCAGTCAGGCCGCTCCGTCTTTGTGCTCCCAGAGCCTGGCAGCGACGCTATGCTCCCTGCCCCCAGGTCCGGCCAGGCTCCCGTGCACAGAGCCCAGGGGGCACCTGCATGTTTCACCCGTGGTAGCTCTCCACACGTGAGGTAGCCTCTCTTCTCCCCGGCTGGAAGAATTCCAAAGGGGTGATGACGATCTCTCTGGGTTTGTCTCGTAAATTTATAGCTCATACCCACAGTTACCCTGCTCTCTGCCCCACTGGCTCACTCTCGAGCGAGAGGCTCAGTGACTCGTGAGGGGTCCCTTTTGTGGTTGTCCCACTGCCCAGGGTGTAGTTCGGCCCTGGGCCGACGTCCTCCCCTTGGAGAAGGAAGGGCCTGGAGAAGGGGAGGCCCAGTGCCGTCTGATGCACCTGCAGGCCCTGCCTGAGCAACTTGGGGCTATAGATGGCTTCTGCCGACTCGGGCTGACTGGCCTTGTCCAGCTGGGAGTCAGCATCTGGTCAGTGATGTCAGGTTTAGTCCGCCTCCTCTGTGTGCCTCTTGGGGGCAGGGGCCCCTCTGTCTCCCCCCCCACCCCGTCCGCCTGCTGAGGAGGGAAGCCCCGTGTCCTGCGGCCAGGGCTGTGTGTGATTTTTTGTGCCCACGTGGTTCAGGCTTTACTTCAAGTCTCGTGTCTCCGTTACCCCTCCAGCAGTGTGGTCCCAGGGCAGCTCCTTTCCGGTCCTGGTCCCTAGCAGTTCCCATGACCTGGGGGGGTTACGGCCCTCTGTGTTGGGCTAGTTCGTAGGGTCACTGACAGAAAGATGCCCAGTGCTCCTAAAGGTCAGCAGGTTTCTTCAGGTAGTTCGTGAATGAGTGTTAACAGGTGCCCTTTCCTTGGTGGGTGATGGGTGATGCCATGTCGGTGTCTGGTAACTGGTCCGTGTGGGGACTGGGCAGGCAGGGCCGCACTGGCCTGCTGTCTGGCTGATGGCGGAAGCACAGGGCTTTGCCTTATTCCTGAGAAGATGGATGTGGGGGTCCGCTCGGGCGGCTGGAGCAAACACACCTGTATCCCTCGCGGTCTGGAGGCTGGGCATCTGAGGCCTCCCGTGGGTGTGTAGATGGCCATCATCCTCACATCATCGTCCCCTGAACGTCCGTGTTCTGATTTCTTCTTACGAGGACACCAGTCCCGTTGGATCAGGGCCACCGTTGTGCCCTCATTAAAGACCATGTCTTCAAACACAGTTGCATTCTGAGGGCCTGGTGATTAGGACTTGAGCATGTGCATTTGGGGAACACAGTTTAGTCCATAAAATGGGGGTGTGCAGACATACCGCGGGGGTGAGGGCAGGCTTCTGAGGGAGGGGAGGCCACTCACCCGCTGAGCTGGGGGGAGCAGGGAGGGTGGTGGGAGGGTCAGCCGGTGGCCTGCGCTCTGATGACGGAGGTGTTCGGGAGACAGAGGAGAGGGTATGTGTTGCACTCTTTGCCCTGACCCTGGGTTAGGGTTAGGCTGGGAACGTTGCAGACACGTTCCGATGCTGGCAGGCGAGGGTGGACAGCGGCCCCTCACGGAAGGGACCATGTGAGGAGAAGTGGGTTTTTCTTACTGCCTTGGTGGAATCAGTGACAAGATCTGGGACCATTTTTTTGCTTCGACTGGACTCACCTGAGACCCTCGGCTTTGGGCAGCGCCTGTGCCGAGAAACTGCAAACAGGTGGGGACCATGAGCCTCAAGTCCAGAGCTCCAGGTCCCAGGCTCGGGGGCATGGGCCTTCCTCTTGGTGAGTGATGTGGCATCTCTGGGCTGCCTGGTCACGCTGCAGCCTGTTCTGGAGGTCATCCCGGGGTCATGTGTCCCGGGGCAGCCCCAGAGGAAGTGCGCAGGGGTCCCTCCTGACTCTGGGCCACCATGCACCTGGCCGCGGCCTGGCCTGGGGCACAGTTCCCGGCTCCTCCCCGTGGGCACGGAGCGCCCCACTCACCCCCATGTGTTCTCTGTCCTCAGGTGTGGAGGCCGGGGCTGTTTTGCCCAAGAAGGAGAAAATGAAGCTGCGGCGTGAGAAGTGGCTGCAGAGTAAGTTCGGCCCCGTGCCCCCCCCGCCCCAACACACCCGCAGTGGCCTGGGGCGGCCCCCTGACCGTGCCCTCCCTGAGCGCCGCGTGTGCAGGGCTGGCTCACCAGCACCTGGGTGACCGTGCTGTTGCGAGGGTTTTACAGCAGAGCTGTCCCAGGGCGCTCTGGGTGCGGCGGCGCCCCTGCTCCTTCCGTCTCAGGGCCTGTCTGAGGGGGGCTTCATCCCGGGCCTCCCGCAGACGCCTCACCGCGCCCGGCGCCTCACTCCCTCGAGTTAGTTTTCGTGATGCTGAGTATGCACTGGTGGTTTTCTAAGGATTGTCCTAAGAGGCTTGCTTTGCAGCCTTTTTCTTACTGTTTTCATTTTAGTGTGATTCTGCTCACTTCTATTATTTATTTATTTATATTATTTTTTAGTTTTCTTGACTTTTTTAAATTTTTATTGTTATGTTAATCACCATATATTACATCATTTGTTTTGGTGTAGTGTTCCATGATTCATTGTTTGTTCATAACACCCAGTGCTCCACGCAGAACGTGCCCTCCTCAATACCCATCATAGTTTTCTTGACCTTTTAAAATTAATTTCTGTTATCTGGTATGTTCTCTCATGGTTAAAATTTTTTTCCTTTAAGGTTTTAAAGAAAATGTACGTTTTAATTTCCTAGAGAAATTTGTCGACTTCTTCCACAGTTATTTTATGTTTTGTGCCTCTGTGGGTGTTTCTTACAGAAGTGACTCATTCGTGCATTTTCTTTCCCACGGTCCCTGCGTGGGGTTGTGCGGAATGTTCTCTGTAAGCTGGACTTGGGGAGGCAGACAGACTGGCCGCTGGGGCCTTGTGCTCCTCTGCACTGCCGTGTGCCGCGATATTTAAAACTCGCTCCTCGCTCCGTGCTGGTTGGTCTTTCGTCGTCTCTCCTTGAGCCTGGCGTGGCCATTCCTATTTTCCCATAAAAGCATCTACTCTCATGAGACCCCCACCCTCATTGGCAAAGGGCTGCTGGCCTCTCATCACCGGTACCCTGTTTGTCACCCTTTATTTGCCTCCTTTTCGTGAACTTCTCTTTATTTTTCTCTTCCATTCCAAGAATTAAGCCTTGTACTTGTTTGTCAGTTCTACTTTCTTGTGCCCTAAATGGTTAGTTTCTGTTCTTTTTAATACCCTAGTCTTGCTTTCTTTAGGTTTGAGTTACCTGGCTCATAGTTTTTACAGTTTTGTTTAGGAACGGAGGGCTGTGTGAGCCGCACCGCCCCGCTCGGGCTTACCTACTGTCTTAATCATGGAAAGTGTCATACGGAAAAGCAGGGAGGACCTGACAGTGAACACCTAGATTTGATGTGGACCCTGTTGTTCACCACATCTGTTCCTCTGTCCATTCCTGTCCATCTGTCCACCACCCTGTGTTCTATCCACCCATTGCTGAGTGAATGGCAGACGTCAGGACACTTTCTCCCAAATGATTCTGCTACAGTTCAGCATCTGCAGATGGTTCTCCTTCATTTTGAGGTAAGGCTGGCCTACGATGAAGTGCCAGTCTGGGTGCCACTGCACACACACACGTGCGACCAGAGTCCCTGGGAGAGACAGAGTAGCACTAGCACTGAGAGTGACCACTGTCTCCTCCCCTCAGAGTCACAGCTTAGATTTTACTGCTCTAGACGTCCTCTGACTGGAATCTTGTAGGATGTGTTCTGTTTGTGTCTGGATTTCTTGGCTTCGCAGGAAGTCTTTGAAAGTCTGCTCTGCTGTGTGTCGCTGTGGCCCGGGCCCTTCTCTCGCTGAGAAGGGTTTATCTGGATAGACCGACTGCTACCCCTTTTCCTATTGATGGACACCTGGTCTTTTTTCTCTTTCTAGCTACTATGAAAAAGGCTGCTACAAACATTCTCTTCAGGTCTTTTTGTGGAGTGTGTCGTCATTTTGGAGGAATGGTTGGGAATAGAGTGTGCTGGGTCATAGGGCAGGTGTATGTTTAGTTTTATAAGCAACTGCCAGACATTTCCCTGGAGTGGTCCTGTGTTCACACTGCCACCAGCCACGGCTCCCCGCAGAGCAGGGCGTCAGCAGCTCCCCGTGGCGTCGGCTCTCAACCACCCCCGAGCATTGCGTGTGCACCCCAGTTGGGTGTGGTTTCGTTACCTCACTCCAAGAATGGTTCTGACGTCCCGGAAGCCAGCCCTGCGTCAAGTGTGTGCTTGCAGATTTTCTTCCAGAGCGTGACTTGCCCGTTCATTTTCTGAACAATGTGTTTTTGATGAACAGAAGTTTAATCTTGAGGCATCTGATTTACCTTTTTTTATGTGGTTATTTTGTATACATGTGTGTCTTGTCTAGGAAAACTTTGCCCAATCTCAAGTCCTCAAGATGCTGTTCTGCTTTTCTAAAAGCTGTGTAGTTAGGTTAGTTCGGTTTCTGGTCCATCTCGGTTGGCGTTTGTCGGTGGCGTGCGGTACTGGCTGAGGCTCCTTCCCCCTCTGTGGATGTTCGGTTACTCTGACACTGTTTGTTCTAAAGGCTTTTCTCTCCTCGTTTGATTGTTTCAGTGTCTTTGCGAAACATCGCACGGTCTCCTGAGTGTGGGTTTGTTTGGGGGCATCTGCTGTTGGCTGCTGCCAGTGTGTCCTCACACGTACTGGCAGCTCTGCAGGAGGCCGTGGTGCACAGCGGGCGCCCTCCCCCTCCTCGGTTCTCCTGTGGGAAGGCCGGGTCTGTGGCGCTTCCGTGTAGGTTTTACCAGAGGCCCGCTCCCACCAACAGAACCTTGTCAGGCTTACGACTGCAGGTGCCTTGAGTGTGTAGATCAGTTTGGGGGAAATTGCCGTGTTAACAGTATTGAATCTTTAAGTCCATGAATATGGTACATTTCTCCATTTTTGTGGATTATCTTGTCAGCATTGTATAGTTTTCAGAGTAGAGGTCTTACATGGGTTTTTATTTTTGTTAATGCCTGTTGCTGATGGTTTCATAGGTTTTGGAGTTGTTTGTAAGTGAGATTCTCAAAAGCTTCGTTTTCTAGTAGTTTATAAAGGATGGATTTTTAAGAATATTGTATCCTTTGACAGTGCTAAAATCATGTGTTCTGATAGTTATTCTGTAGATTCCTTAGAACTTTCTACATAAAAAATCATGCCACCTAAAATGGATCAGTTTCATTTTCTTCTCCAAGCTCATGTTTTCATGTCTTCTCATCCTACGGCAGGGGTTCGAGCCTCTGGTGGGTGGTGATGGAAGGGGTGCGAATGGTTCCCAGTCTGCAGCCAGGGGTTGGGACCCAGCTGTGTTGGTGCACAACGCAAGGTGCCATCATGGGCTCTCTGCTTCAGGCCCGGTTTCTAAGGAACTTCCCTTAGGCTTCTCGTCGATGGGCAGATGTGGGCACGGAAGTAAGGAGAGTGACGGGGGCACATGCCTTGCCCCCTGCTCCTGAATTCTGTCAGTGGGATGTGGACTGGCCTTCAGGGAACTCAGCCCTTAAGCCTCCCATGGTCAGCATCCCATGCAGCCGGTGAAGTTGTTTTTGGAGGCTCAATTAGCATGTGGAATGCTTTCTTGGTTACACCTCAAGCTAGTTTTAAGTTAAACCATTTAGAATGAAGGAGTGTCAGTCCCTGGGAAACTTCCAGAGCCAGGGGAGGGGCAGTGATAGGGGCAAGAGGAGCCCCCCACCCCCAAAATGCTCAGAATCTGTTGCTCTAGAACACACCGTTGGTAGAAGGGACCTTTCACTGCCCCTGCCCTTGCTTACAAGTGGGCTGGCCATGAGATTCTCCCTGGGGAGAAACGTCGGTGTGTGGTCTGTCTGGTCCCAGCACCCCAAGAAAGGTTTACCTGGAGAGGAGTCTTCGATGAAGGAGGCGATTTCCAGCCCAGGTACAAGGATGTGGAGGGGAGGCCCCCTACCTCTATCTGGCATGGAGGGTAGAAGGGAGACTTCATTGCCAGAAGATGGTGTAACAGGGTCCTGGGCTCAGAGGACACTCCAGGCGGGCGCCCCCCTCCCCCTGGGCCCCTATCTCTGGCTAGAAGGCGTGGGAGTGGCTCTGGGGCAGAAAGGGGAGAGTGGGCAGGGCCTGTGGTGACATGGGCACAGTTGTCCTCTGCGGAGGGTGGCCAGCCTGGAGCCCCTGTGCCGAGCCCAGTGGCACAGAACTACACCACTTTAAATTCACTGTTCACATGTCCCCCCCCAGTCTCCAGGCTGGAATGAGAGGCACCCAAATCTGAGGACATGTTAATGTTTCAGTGTCACGTAAAAAAGTCATAAACCTGTTTAGGTAGGACGGACAGAGCTGAAGACCGTTCCCTAGCAAGCTGGTTGCTCATGCAGGATTGAACTTGCAGACCTTTCCCCTTTATCCTGGGGGTGTGGAGCTTTAGAAACTCAGGGTGTGCGTGTGCGTGCACGCCTGTGTTTTGTGGCTTTTGATTCCTATTTGTTATATTCGTGGTGTTTAATTCTTCGTTTTTAGGGCAGGCAGCAGGGACCCCCCCCCCTCCCCAGAAGGATGTCGGGAGCCTGCCCTCCACACCTGCCTGGGACGCTGCCCTGTTGGGATTCCTGTCACTTCCTTATTTGCTTCAGCGTCCATTAGGCCCACTTCCTTGTTGCGTGTTCCCTTAAACATGTTCTGGTTACGATTACACATTGAGTCTTTTTTTCAAAGTAAGACTTGGAATTAGCTTCACAGGTTCAGGTGAAAGTCCTGTTGAAGTTTGAGGCTGTGTGAGCTTTGCGGTTTCTCAGGGTCACCAGCCCAGCACCGTCCGCCCTCCCTGGGTTGCTGTGGAGTCTTGTGATGTTTTGCTAGAGAACATGATGTTTCTGGTAGATAATCTCTTGTCACATTAAGGAATTGGCCTCCATTCATGGCTGTGCTGTCGTTTTTATGGTGAGTGGATAGTGAATTCTGTGGTGTTCCATTTGGCACTTCTTGTGGCCATGGTGGTCTTTGTGTTTAAACAGACCCCCAGTGGGGCGCCTGGCAGATGTCCCCATGTGCCTCGGTTACACTCCAGCTAGGTGGGATGTGTTACTAAAAGCACTTCGAGCTTGGATTTGCGGACGTTTGTGTGGTCGTGTTCCTGTGTCCCCCAGGAGCCTGGGCCTGTGCTTTGCTGTGCTTGGTCCCAGTGCTGGTCTGCTGGCCACTGAAGGGGCAGGGGTCTCAGAGCACCTGCCCTGGCCTTTGCCACCCTCCTGGGATGCTCGGCTCTCGGGGAAGAGGCATCTGGTTTGAGGAGATGCTCAGTAAGTTGTTGATCCTCTTATTGGCAGGAGGGAAAGCACTGACTTGTCCCTCGTAAGTCCTAATAATCCGGAGCCCTGAGGGCTTGCTCCGCACACGAGGAGCTGGCGAGTGGAGCTGTCCTTGTCCACTTGAGCTCTGCTCTTTGGGGCGAGGGGAGCAGCCTCGCTCCCCAGGGGCCCTCTGGGGCTCTCTTAGGGGCTGTGGCTGGGGGCAGCATGGGTGTCCCTGACTTTGGGCCACGCAGGAGGGTGGGCTTTTCAGAGCTTGCCCTGGGCAGCCGAGGGGTTTGGGGTGGGTGACCCTGGCCTAGCACTGTAGGCTTGTCGAGCGGCTCTTGCCTCTGGGAAGCCTTCCTCGGTGCTTCTCCCCACTAGGTGAATAGTTGCAGTTTCTGGAAACTCCCCTCTTGAAAATGCCTGTTGGGGTCACCACGTATGACTCCCCTTTCACATGTGCTTCCTGGGGCTCGGTGTGGGGTTCCCCTCCTGGCCTGCCCTGTGCCTGGAGGTCACTGCCCTTCTGTGGGGTGACGGGCGGCCACAGTGTTCCGAAGGACCCAGCTCGTGGAGTCAGGGCTCCTGTACCTGCCACGTGCAGGTCGCTGGCTGGTGGCGCCTCTGGCTGTGGACCTGCCGGGCGCTGTGTCAGGAAGGCGGCGTGTCGCAGCCTTTGAGGTGTGATTCCTCGTGTGGCTGTCCGTTCCAGCGGGATGGGCTCAGGTCTGGTCAGCCCCCAGCCGCTGTTCTGTCCCAGCTTTTCAGTGAGAGCCTGACAGAGCAAATGCACAAAATCCGTGAGCGCGGAGTCCGCGCGTCTTTTGTGTACAACGGGCCCTGGGCCCACCCGCTGTCTCCCTGGGTAAGAGCTGAGCTGGCGTTGCCCACCGGCCACACTGGAAATACTGCATTTGAATACATACTTTATTAGCAACTGTGAAATAAAAACATTTCTAGGTGAAAATCAAATCCCCAGAGGCTTTGAGATGCCTGGGAGGCTCCGTCACTTAAATGTCTGCCTTTTGATTTTGGCTCAGGTCATGGTCTCAGGATCCTGGGATCGAGCCCCGTGTTGGGCTCCTTGCTTAGCGAGGAGTCTGCCTGAGACTCTCTCTTCCTCTGCTGCGCCCCCACTTGCACCCGCGTCCTCTCACGTGAATAAATAAATCTTAACAAAACAATTCCCAAGGCCGTGCCCCCGTCCCTCATCCTCCAGCACCCTGTGTTCCTCTCAGCCGCGCTGGCCCCCGGCCTACCCCGGTGCCCCCTTCCCAGTGGCTGCGCCGGACCTCCGTGCAGAGCCTTCTGGGAGCCCCATGATGTCAACTCCTGTATGTGGGGATCCACTTTCTCCCTCCTGGTGCGTTTCAGGGGGAACTTGGGGAGCACAGGAGAGCATGACCCTGCTGCTCAGTGGCTCACTGTTTACATCGTTTTCCCCTCGCCCGCTGACTGCGCAGCCTGCGCCCCGCACAGGCCCCCGAGCCAGCGTCCCTTTTCAGAAAGAGAAGAAGCCTCAGCGCCTGCAGCTCAGTCTCGGCATCCCGCGATCAGGGTGCCGACCTGCCTCCCGGCTTCCCAGGGCGAACGTAGGTGCCACCTGCCGGCCCTGCTCGGGAAGGAAGCTGGTTGCCTGTGTGCTTGTCCCTTGCTCTCTGCTCCTCTCGCTTAACCCATTGTCCCTCCCCCCCCCCCCGCCCTCAGAAATCGAAGCCCTAAAGCTGGCCGAGCAGAAGCGCAAGGCAGAGCGGAGACGGAGGGCCACGGTGGTGGTGGGGGACCTGCAGCCCCTGAGAGATGCCCTCCCTGAGCTGCTGGAGCTGGAGGCTGGCAGTCGGCAGCCACGTGCCAGAGGGTGAGTGTCTGTCTGTGGCTGCCTTGGGAATGCGAGGCCAGGAAAGGGCCGGCTCTTCCAGAGCGGCAGCTGCTGACCTGTGTCCGGAGCCTGGGGAGGAACCAGCAGGGGAGGGGACGGGGGGAGGCAAAGCCTGCAGAGGTGCCCGACCTCCTTGTTGATGCAGAAACCCTTGCTTCCGTGGTCCAAGCCTTGAGGTAGGCAGGTGGTGTGCTGACTCTCTCGCCGGGGCCTCTGCAGGCAGATGGCCTGTCCAGCATGTTGACGAGGGGCACCTGTCGGCCTTCTCCAGCGTGGGCCTCGGAGCAGCTTAGCCGGGAGGGCTGCGGTGTGGTGGGTCCTTCCAGCCACTGGGCTTCACCCCCCAGGGACACAGCCTGCCACCATACCTGCTGCCTTCGGCACCCTCTCCCAGAAGTACACGTTCTTGTAGCGCTTCCTGCCTCCCTGGAACATGGGTGCTCCAGAGAAGCCAGTCCCTCTGCTGTCCCTCTCTGTGTTCCTTCATCAGCTTGGAGGTTGGGGGTGTCCAGCGATGTGCTCAGGGCCACTTGGCTGCAGACCCAGAACATCCCAGGCCAGCTCCCGGAATGGGAGCACCCAGAGCCTTTGGTCCGGACAAAGAATCGAGGAGTGGCCTTCACAGTTGAGATTGGTGATCGAGCCAGAGCCTGAGAGGCAAATTCCCCCTCTGATTCTTGATAAAAAAATGTGACCCCAGTCAAGTGTCCTTCCCCTGCTTTCAGTTTTTTCTTTTTTCTTTTCTTTTCTTTTCTTTTTTAAAGATTTTGTTTATCTGACGGAGAGAGAGATACAGCGAGAGGGAACACAAGCAGGGGGAGCGGCAGAGGGAGAAGCAGGCTTCCCGCGGAGCAGGGAGCCTGACGCGGGGCTCGATCCCAGGACCCTGGGACCATGACCTGAGCCGAAGGCGGACACTTAACGACTGAGCCGCCCAGGCGCCCCGCTTTCAGTTTTCTCATCTGAAAAATGTGCTCAGGGCTCCCAGGGGGGGGAATTGCTGCGTAAACACCCAGTTGGCAGCCCGAGGAGGAATGTGTGTGGCCCTGGGCGGCCTGGGCTGCTGAGCTGGGCTGTAGCCGAGGTTGCTTCCGGCTCTCTGGGTGTGGGAAGGTCCCCAGCTGGTCTCCTAGCTGAGCCTCCTGTTGGATGGGGGTCACCGTCCCTCCTCAAGTGCGTCTGGCACTGGGGAGCTGTTTGTTTGAATAAATGTTATTTTAGAACAGTTTTAGATTTACAGAAAATGATGAGAGGATACTGAGAGTTCCCACGTCCCTCACATCCAGCTCCCTCTGTCAGCATAGTGCACTGGGGGCCCTTAAGGAGTCAGTGTGGATATGTAAATAATAGTGATTGAATAAAGCCCATGGGTTATTCAGATTTCCTCAGTTTCCCCTAACATCCCTCTTCTGTCCCAGGATCCCGTCCAGGACACCATGTGACACTGGTCATGTCCCTTTACACCTCTTGGCCGTGACAGTTTCTCTGATGACCCTGACCGTTGGGAGGAGGGCCCGTCAGGCGTTTGGGGGGATGCTCCTCATTTTGAGGAGGGCCAGTCAGGCGTTTGGGGGATGCCCCTTGTTGGGAGGAGGGCCCGTCAGGCGTTTGGGGGGATGCTCCTCGTTGGGAGGAGGGCCCGTCAGGCGTTTGGGGGATGCCCCTTGTTGGGAGGAGGACCAGTCAGGCATTTGGGGGGATGCTCCTCGTTGGGAGGAGGGCTCGTCAGGCGTTTGGGGGATGCTCCTCGTTGGGAGGAGGGCCCGTCAGGCGTTTGGGGGATGCCCCTTGTTGGGAGGAGGGCCCATCAGGCGTTTGGGGGGATGCTCCTCGTTGGGAGGAGGGCCAGTCAGGCGTTTGGGGTGTTGCCCCTCGTTGGGATTAGCATGATGTGGTTTCTCATGAGTGGACTGGGGTCAGGGGTTGTCGGGGGGAAGACCACACAGGGAGGTGTCCGTCTCATCCCATCCGGCCCAGGTGCCTGCCGTCAACATGACTTGTCACTGCTCATGTTGGCCGTGGTCACCCGGCAGAGGTGTGTCTCCCCGGTGTCCCCACCCCACGTGGCTCCTTCCCTTTCCTGCTCTGTCCCCTGGGGAAGGGAGTCGCCACGCTCAGCCCACACCTAAGGAGTGGGGAGGTGCGCTGTGCTCCCCGAGGACGGAGCGGCTGTGCAGACACTGGGATTCTCCTTCGGAGGAGGAGATAAGTACCGTTTCCGTGTCAGCGCATGAGTGACTCATTTATGGATGTCCGAATGGACTCGTGGATATTTATTTTATACTGTGGCTATAATCCAACAGGACTTCACTCTGTTGCAGGGACTGGTCCAGCTCTGGCCACCGGGAGCCCCTTCAGGTGGCTTCTGCGCTGGAGGGGGTCACACCAGGGGCTGACACTTGAAAGCATGCAGACAGTACAGATGGCTCTGCTGATCAGTGTGTGTTGTGCCCCCCTCCTCTAGGCGTGGGGGGCAGGGTTCCACACAGGGCAGAGCACCAGTTCGGCTCCACCCCACCGCCCCCCCCCCGGGCCAGAGCCGCTCCTGCTGCAGCACCTTCCCCAGCAGCCCCCCTCCTGGGGTTGGGGTAGGACAGGATGTGCTGTGGGGTTGGCCTTGTGGCCCTGGACACCCAGGTCTGAGTGCGAGGGTCCCCAGTCACCTACTGGGACACCGTGACCAAGGCCCTGGACCCTTCTCCAAGCTCGTCCCACATCCGTGATGTGACCTCACTGGGCGGTGGTTGCAGAGAGCCATCGGAGCACACCTTCCCGTGCTGTGTCCCAAGCCATCTGGGTGGGCACGACACAGCACGAGTTGTACGCACAGTGATGCTGCTCGTTAGTGAAAGGTTAGATTCTCTAGGAACTTGGTCCTTTGGGCAAAAGAGTGTCAGGCGAAGATCACCTTGTCCTTTCTGATGAGCTTTGTGCAGCTGAGCCACCAGGCTAGCCATCCCTTGGACCCCATGTGGTCCTGGTGACCTTGGCCACGTCTTGAGGCTGCTGCCATGGATACTCGGAGAGCCCCTGGGCGGCAGCCAGGGTCGGGGTGCTTCCTGCCGGCTCAGCCCTCCCGGATCTTACAGGCCAGCAGGTGCTGCTGGAGAGTGGGCTGAGAATAGCACCGTGGACCCCATTGGGCCGCCCTGGGTGGACTTCGGGGCTTCGCCCACCGGGGCTGTGGGTTTGGACAAGAGTCCGTATTGTTTGGGGTTTCTTACACCCACTTGGTTTCCTAGGCCCCTGGGGTGGGACATGCCACGTGGGCTCAGTCCCATCAGCAGGCAAGTGGGAGGGCTGGGCCCCACCGCCTGCAGGAGAGCAACAAAGCTGGGAGTTACCTGGGTGCACCTGCGCACTCACTTTCCCCTTGGACTGCAGGCCCGCTAATGCAAGTTTGCCAGGAAAACATTTGTCTGTTTGACGGGGAAACTGAGGCTTCAGGGTACAGCGGTTTTCCCAAGGTTCATCCCTGGTCGGTTGGTGTCCAGAGCCACTCCCTCCAGGGCTGGTGGGGCTGGGGTCATGTTGGTGGTACTTAAGCAGCAGGCAGGCTGTGGGCTCTGAGCAGCACATCGTTCCTGGCCGGAGGTCTCAGCCCACCATTGACCCCGCTCTGTCTGAAGCCAGCACCAAGTGAGTCTCTGCCTTCCAGGGGCTCTCCACCCGAGAGACTTGAAGTCAAAGCCTGGGCCTGTCTAGACGGAGGTGACAGGACTGAGGGGTTGGCTCTGCTCACCCAGACAGCCTGCCTTTGTCCACAGGACGGGAGCCTCCCCCTGGAAGCTGCTTACCAGGTCCTAGGCATGCCCTGAGGCTCCGTGCGCGCCCTGGCTGCCCACCGTGCTGGGGGGTTTAAGCCACTAGAGACTGCACCTGGCCCCTGGGCACTGAGGGGACTCCCAGATGCGTCTACACGGGCACCGCTATCAGAGCTGGAGGGCCATGAGTGGCCTCAGTGGATTTTACCTTTTTATTTTTATTTTTTTATCTTTTTTTTTTTTTTTTTTTTAAGAGAGGGGAAGAGAGAGGGAATCCCCAGCAGACTTCCTGCAGAGTGCGGAGTCCGACGGGCTCGATCTCACGACCCTGAGATCATGACCTGAGCTGAAATCAAGAGTTAGATGATGCTTAACTGACTGAGCCGCCCAGGCGCCCCAATTTTACGTTTTTATAAGTGGGGGTGCTGGGGTGTTGGGGGGTGGGGGTTGGATCGGATCCAGGGCTTAGGCTCCCTGACCTGCCGGCGCAGTGTCCTGGGCATGCCAGTCAGTTCTGCGAGGGGCCTGCTCCGGGGTGAACATGGGGGGTCAGCAGCGAGAGGAGCAGAGCTGCAGTGGGAACCGTCTGGGACGCATGAGACAGGTCTTTCATTCATATTTTAACAGAAACCATGAATAAAGGATGAGGTCTCCTGGTTTGGAGGCTAAATTTAGGTGTTGGCCTGGGGCTCTGGTTTTCTCACCCTTCCTGCTGCTGGCTGTGTAGACGCGCATGCCTCCGGGTGACAGCTCCCCAGGCTACCGTGGGGGCCCACAGGGGCACCTGTGCTGACTTGCTTCTCTGTCCCTCACAGGGTGAGCAGCAGGCCCCGCCCCGCCGAGTTGAGCCGCATGAGCGCCGCGCAGAGGCTCCAGCTCCTGTGAGTAAGGCCCTGCCACCAAAATGAGGCTCCAGTGCACCCACCTCCTTCCCTCCCACCTCACCCCAGTACCGTCCAGCCTCTGGCCGAGCGCCCCCGGCCCTGGCCCACTCAGGCCCACGGACAGCTTGGCCAGTGGTGCCTCTTATTGGCATGAAGGAGCCGGTTTGTAACTGGGCCGGGGAGCCCCTTTGCCCAGGCAGCGAGGGGAGCAGAAGCTGCCAGAACAAGACATGCTGGCTCTTTTGGGATCACCCTGGGAGCCCAGAGCCCACTGCCCTCCCAGGCATCTTGGGTGTGGACCCCTGGCTTGGGCAGTTGGTCCAGGGGTTCAGTCTCCCTGTCAGCAGCTGGGGAAGCCAGGCACCTCGCGGTTCAGCCTTGCCCCGTCACGCACACACAAAAAATGGCAGAGCACCAGTTCGGCTCCATCCCACCGCCCCCCGGGCCAGGGCCGCCCCTTCTGCAGCACCTTCCCCAGCACCGTGCCGCAGGTGCCACGGCGGCCCTGCCCGCACGTGTCCTGGACCGCCATTCCGAGCTTTCAGTGCACGGGTGTCCTCCCTCAGAGGCGCCTCGCCAAGGCACCTGCAAACGTCCAGCTGGCCCCTGTGCTTCTGAGATGCGGCATGAGTGCCGGCTCTCCCAGGGGCTGGCTGGGCTTAAGAGACCCACGTGCAGAGAGTGGCAGCCACCACTGTGGACTGGGGGCTCAGGTCCTCCCCCGGGAGGAAGCCCTCCAGCTCCCATCAGAGGCAGCCACTGCCCCCTCTGTCGCTGGGGCACCCCATTGTGGGCAAGGCTGGTCTCGGGCCCGTGGGGCCGCAGTGCTCGGTTTTGGCTCGCTGGAGGGAGGGCGCCTCTTGTGTAAGCCCACATGTCTGCAGGCCACGTGTCTACCTCCCCACGTGTGTCCGCTTCTTCCTGCTTTGAATAGCAGCTCCGCATCAGAGTTGGGGATGGGGGGCCCAGAGCCCACTTCCTGGGGGAAGGCAGGGGTGCTAGTCCCCCAGACCCACGCTCCAGAGCCTGCGTGTGATCGTGAGGGCAGCCAGTCCCTTTCTGCCCAAAGCGCCTGTTAGCTCTCATAGCCCCCCTCATCCCCCTTGGGCCTGACCCAGCAAGGCCGCTCCTGAGCCCCCTCCCTGCCCTGCTGCCTTCCTCATCCCCCCCATACTGCCCCTGCCCACTGCCCTCTGGTGACCCTTAGGCCCCAGGTGCTCTGCCCTGTGTAACCCCTGCCTACCCACTCCAGTGTCTCGCCCTCCCTGAGGTGCCCAGGGATGGGATGGCCGGGCTGGGGCAGTGCTGATGCTCATCTCCACCCCTCCCTGCACAGGGTTGTGGGGTTTGCTGACCTGCGCTGATCTCCTCTCTTTCAGGGAGGAAGAAAGGGCTCGGTTTCGGGAGCTGCTGGCTAGTCCAGCCTACAGGGCCAGCCCCTTGCTGGCCATCGGGCAGCAGCTGGCCCAGCAAATGCAGCTGGACGGCGGCAGCCGGCTCTGATCTCTGATGCAGCCTGGAGACGTGCTGTGAGCTCCAGGGATCCACCCCTTGCTGTCCTTGCCGTGAGCCTGGCAGGAGAGCCCACCATGAGAATGAATGAAGGCACGATCTCGGGCGTTGGGATGGGGGCAGTTCCTCTGGGCCCCCCCACGGCTCCCTGGGCTTCCTTCCAGACTGCTCTTGGGTTTCTCTGGGCGGGCCACCCAGGAGGCTGCCCACGCTCCCTCGGCACGACCCACCACCCAGCAGGCTCTGGGGGTCCCCAGCTCCCCTGCAGCCCCAAGATGCAGTCGTGGTGGGTTCTGTGGGCGCTTGCTGCCCTCCCGGTTCCCAGGGGCTCCTGTCTGCCCTTCTTGGGCCGTGGTCCCTGAGCTCCTCCCTGGCCTGCTCCCCACGGTGTCTCCCTTTGGCTCCGAGCCCAGGTTGCTCCCCACCTGCCCTTGTGATTGAGGTGAGCTGGGCTTGCCGGAGTCCAGCAGTCTGGACACTGGGAGCAGGCCTGGTCCCGCCCTAGAGCGACACAGCCGACCCGGGAGCAAGGTGGCTGTTGACTGTTAGAAGCCTGGGGTCTGGGGGCCAGACTGCGGGAATAGACTTCACACCTAAGGGCCTGGGCTTGCCTGGGGAGTGGGAGTTGGGAGTGTGTGCTGTGTGGGGACTCACTGCCCATGTCCTGCGGGGTCAGTGGTGGTGGATGTGTGGCCCGGAGGCCTGGGCACCCACGGCAGCAGCTCTGGACCCAGTGAGCGCCCTGTCACTCTTGGGGCCGGGGCCAGGATACCCAGCACCCCTTCACAGGCTGTGGTGTGGGGGTGGGCACCAGCGCATCCAGGCGCCAGGCACTCTAGGCTTTGTGGCTGAACCAGCGTGAGCTCCAGTTATGTCCCTGACCTCTGGTGCCCTGGTCGGCATGCTCGCGACTCACGGACACCCAAGCAGCGTCTACCAAGGCTATCCGGCCATGGGTGGCTGAAGGGATCTGAGCCCATGCCCCGCCCCCATTGGGCTTCCTGGGCCTCTTCTGTGCACAAGAGCACACAGTGTGGGCGCCTCCCAGGAATGGGACATGGAAAGGGACAGATGTGACCACTGAGGCTGTAGGTGGGAGCCTGAGTCCCCTGGGCCGGAGGTAAGCACGGCCGTCTCGCCAGGACTGCCACCCCTTAAGTGACGGTGCACTGTTGTCCTCAGTACAGAAACCAGTTCTTGGTAAGGGAGATGAGTTGTTTATAAAGTGGTATTTGTGACAAACTCATTTGTGCAATAAATAAGTGCTGGGAGAAACAGAGTGGGGTACAGGTTGCCCGGAAGGTGATGCAGGCACCTTGATGTTTCTCCGTCATGTTTTTCCGAATGTCTGAGTTTGGTGACACTGACTGCAAGGCTGGTACGTGTCGTCTGAAGGGAAAATGTACTTCTTGGCCTCCAGCAACTCCAGTGTGGCCCCGGCCGGGCCACCTCGGCTCCCCTTGTGCCCTGGCTGCCCGGGAGCGTGTGTGCCATGGGAAAGGGAGGGGCCGCACGGACAGGGGGCGGGCTGCTCTTGAGGGGGTGAGGCACGTGGGCTGTGCCGACCCCTGGCCTCAGAACTCACCCCAGGAAGATCACCAGAGAAGCCTCGAACGTGTGGGGACCTCAGCCCCAGAGCAGAGTGCCGGGTCCCAGTGACAGGTTACAGGAGAGTCCCCCTGGGTGTCCCCTGGCTGTGGCCAGATGCCTACCGCCGAGCAGGCATGTGTGTGGTTTCTGATGTGTGTGCCGTGGGCACGACTGCCGTGGTGGCAGGTGTAAGTGGTGAAGTGGAACAGCTCATGGTGTTTGTGCCTCTTAAACCCTGTGCGCTCCTGCTGTGCAGGGGTGCGTGGGTCTGTGTCTCTGGCACCTGCCCGTAGGGTCCTGCCTGCCCTGCCCGCAGGCTCACCTCTGAAGGTCCCCTGGCTCCCGGCCAGAAATCTTCAAGACCCCTTTTTAAAAGTACTCCAGCAACCCACCTGGATCCTCCTTCCCCATGAAACACCCCTCTCCTCTGCCCTTCTAGAGCCCCTGGTTGGTAGGTATGCTGTCCCCTTCTTTCGGTGGACGTGTGCATCGGTTGTCAGCTGCTGTGGTACCTGTGTAACCGACGTCCCCCAGACGTGCAGCCATGTGTTCTTCCCACGAGCCTGGGCCAGGCTGGACTCCTGCCTGAGGCACCCACTGAATTTGTTTCTTGGGGAACAGACTAGCAGATGGGGTGACTTCAGCCCCTGGGAATGCACTCTCCCGTGGAGCCTGGTCATGCCGGCAGGCCCACGCCGTCTCCGGAGGCCTCCAGACGGGGGCAGAGACGGGCAGTCCTGTTTGTCAGCTCCTCTCGTGCCCCCGGCTGGTGGCTGCATCACTCCTGTCCGTCGCTCTGCCTCCTGTGAGTCCCTGGGTCAGGGCCCGCCCTCCTGCAGGATGACCTCCCCTGAACTAATTCCTTTGCAAAGATCCTATTTCCAGAATGGTTGCATTCTGAGGTTCCACGTAGATGTGAATCTTGGGCGATGCCCTGGGTCTGGGGGGAGGTCGGGGCAGCAGGATTCTCGGAAGCTCCCAGGTGAACCGAAGATGCACATCCAGAGTTGGCTACCGCTCGCCAAGTGGGGCGGGGAGGAGGTGAACTTGCCTACAGGGCAAAGCGCTGGGTGTTGGGAGGCTTCATGGGGTGCGACGTTGACACGGGCCAAGGACTGGAAGGCGTGGGGCAGTCGTGGACGGCAGAGCACTGCCCTGGGGCTTTGGGTGGGGGGCTGGGGTCCCCTCGTGACAAGGGCCCCCTGCTGCCCCACCCCTTCCTGTGCTCCCCCAGACGGCACCCCAGCCATTCTCTCTGGCATGTCTGCCCTTGTCCTGCCCGGTGTTAATATGTTCTCCGAGCTGGCTTGCTTCCCCCAGGACGGAAACGATGGAGGGCAGGGTGTGCTTTGCGCTGCTGGGGGGTCAGCAGCCCCACGTGGCAGTAAATGAATGAACCAGAGGCAGGAAGCAGTGGCCTGCGTGGGCCCAGGTGACCAAGCTCAGGGCCCTGCTGGGGTGGCCTTGTGTCTGCACGCGGTGTCCAGTGGGGAGAGGGTTCCTGGGGGCGCGGACTCAGGCGCCTGGAGGGGAGGAAGGAGTCGGTATGAATGCACGGCCCTCCGGATCCGTTCTGGTTCTGGGTGTGTCTGCAAGCCGCAGGCCTCTGAGGCAGGCCAGCAGGGCTGGGCTGATGATGGCTCACCCCGTCTGTATGGAGCTTTGTCAAGAGGGGCCTGGGTCTGGTGCCGGGCGGATGGTGACGCGTGAGCCTGATGCAGCCCCACAGCCTCAGCGTGCCGGCCTTCACGTGGACTCGGGCTCCCTTGCTGCTTCAGAGACTGTCCTGGACAAAGACGGGCGTCAGTGCCGGGCAGCCGCAGCTGGGTGGTGAGTCAGGCACAGGCAGCCGTGCCTCTCAGGGTTCCGTGTTGCTTGGAAGTCAGGTGTTGTGCGAACTGCTCTTGGAATGCTCTTCATGCAGCGATCACACGGGTCCGTGACCGCTGCTTGGGCTGAGATGTTGGAGCCCAGCCCCTGCCTGGCCCCAGTGGGTTCTGGGCCACCACCCCGTGACCTGGGTTCCAGGGTGCTGCTATCAGTGCATGTCTCCAGGATATCGGGAGAGCCAGCCGGCTCCTGGAGATAGCAAGACGCCAGCCTTCCGGGCCTTTCTCTGATGTCCCGTTCCTGGGCCAGCTAGTCCCCTGCTTCTGGACCTGAGACCCTCGGCCTGCGCGGACAACCTCCTTATTTTGGAAGTCAAACAGACTCAATAAACTGCATTTTCTTCTAAAGGTGTTAAAATAACATGGGTTACAGTGATAATTACAGACGTGTTCTGGATGTTGGCTTGTGTTTCTTAAGGCTTTGTTAAGATTGGGAAATGTTATTTTTCAGATTGTGGGGAGAAAATCAGTGATTACTTGTGTCTTTGAATTCACATGTCCTCTGGTGCCACAGAGGCTGCAGGGCCGTGGAGTCTGTGGGGCCTCCTGCTAGGCTGAAGCCTTTTCCCTTCCTGTTCTGGTCTCTGCTGGCAGAAGAGGGGACCTGGGGGCTGGGCCCACTGAGCCCTGGCTGGGACTTTCTCTGCAGAGGGGGAACCCAAGAGCCTGGAGAGGGGAGACCCCCCCCCGGGCTGGGGCTGGAGCTGGGGTATCCGGTGCTTTTCCTGCTGAGGCTGAGGTCCTCAGGAATGCAGAGCTTCCAGGCACCCCAGGACCCCCATGTATGCCCTTAACCTCCGCCCTCTGCAGGTTCAGGTCAGTGCCTGAAGCCACAGCACAGGGTTGGGGCGCCCTTCTCCCTGCTTCGGTGCCCAGGGTTCTTGCACAGCGGTAATTATTCCAGTCTCCTAAGTTGGGAGCAGATTCTAATTACATCACGGTGTGTAATTAGAGAATCTATCCTGGTCAGCCCTCGGGCTCTGGGCGCCTGTGTGAACAGCCTTCCCTCTGCCTCCTGCAGATGCACGCCCCTGGGTCTGATGGACCTGGCCCTGGCTGGCCGACCCACGTCGCCCCACCCAACAGGCTAATGTGCCCCATCCTTTGGCCTGCCACCTGGCAGGGTGCACCCCCCCATTCCCAGCCAGCCTTTCTGCCCCAGTCTGTAGCTGATCCTCACGCACACCCAGCACACACTGGGAAAGCTCGTTCTGGTGGGTCAGGCAGGCACAGCTGTCCGCTGCCCGTAAGCTCGGTGGGTGCCCTGGGCCCCACCAGGAGGTCTCTAGGGGAGGGGACAGTGGCAAGTGTGACTGAGGAAGATGTCAGCTCCTGCCGGCGGGATTCATGTCCCAGACTGGTGGTGGAGGCCCTGGGTGGGTGGGGGACAGGCACACGAGAGGTTGGCTTGGGGCTGACCCAGCGTTACTGCAGAGCACCCTGGGGATGCCATCTGGTGGGCCTGAGAGGAGAGGGGTGCGCTGGTCATGTGCTAGTTCGCTATAGTGCTTCTGACTGAAAGCAGAAGTCGTGGGAGCTGATTATGTTGAAACGGGGTGGGTTGCCCCTCCCAGAATGAGAGCCTGGATGCAAGTTGCTGTCAGCAGCCCAGGCTCTTATTCCTCCTGTTGCTAAAGCAGCTGCTAGCACCCCAGCCATCACGTCCACATTCCAGGCGGGAAAAGGGGGAGGGCCAAGGGTGGGTGGTGGTTTCCGTTGCAGTAGGGTAGGGCAAGGCCTGGGCTTCCTCAGCAGAGCCGTCCACACCACTGTCCACCACGGCCCCCAGTGAGCTGGGTGGGTGTTGGTGTATCTCAGCAGCATGTGTGCAGTGAGAGCTCTTGCCAGGTCCTCGGTACTGCTGACCCTGCTGCCGGGGGGTCCGAGCTGTCCTCTGACCTGGGGCCACGGTGAGCACGTTTGTCGGTAACTGGACGCACAGCAGTGCAGAGGAAGGGCCAGCAGGGTGATCAGGAAGGTTCCCCTGGACGTCTGAGTCCTTGTGCCTGGGCGCAGGTCAGACGTCCAAGGGCAAGACAAGAAGGTGCCCCCTGAGAAGAAGGTGGCCGGTGGTCCTGCTCTGGCTCAGCCCTGCACAGATCCCTCTGGCCCTTCAGATGGGGGCGAGGGGTGGAGGGAGGGCCCCCTGAGACCCAGCAGGAGGGCGGACGCAGTACTGTGGGGGTGCTCTGCAGGCAGGGAGGGGCCAGAGCTGCATCCAAGTAAATTCTGGGGCCCCACCCTGGGTTTGGGGGCAGCCAGGAACTGGGCCTTTTAACAGGGCGTTGGTGGCTTGCGGTCACGCTGCCTTTGCTTTTGCATCTTGTCTGACGAGAAGACCTGTCCTGGCGGCACAGTGTGACCTTCCTGGTGCGTGAAGCTGGTGGGCTGCTAGAGACACGGCGGCCCTCAAGTCCCGGGCCTCAGCTCCAGCTTTACCTAGAGGAGGGGAGGGGGCCGGGCATGCACAGCTCGGCCACAGAGGCGGCCCTGCTGGGCTCAGGTGCTCGCAGACCAGGCCTCTGCCAACGGCGCCTGGGTTCCGGGCAGGGGTCGTCCGGTTGGATGCAGGGTCCAGGCCCCTCGTCTTTAAACACTCGCATGTATCGTGACGCCTTACACGGACTAGCAGAGTGTGTGGCTAAGTGCACGCACACGGGAGTACATGGGTGTGGACAAACGTGGGTACATACACGTGGATAAATGCACACTCTGGGGTGGCCTGCAGGAATCCCTACCAAGCTGCCTGGCTGCTGCACACTTGGGACGCTCGCCTTACCTGCCCCACGGCCCTGGTTACCATGGTGGGACAGGCCTGGACAACATGGGAGGACTTCTATTGGAGGGGGGAGTGGAGGGCTGGAGCTGTTGGCTGCAGCCCCAGATCGTTGTCACTGCCGCAGGGAGTGGCCGGCCTGCTGGCCCCCTCTCCCAACGCCCCTGTCCCTTCTCTTGGAGCTGCCTGGAGCCTGAGGTGGCTGCCCTCCCTGACAGCACAGGCCTCGGGTGGGGACCGTCTCTTGGCACTAAGGGTGGGCTAGGGTCCCACGTTGTGGATAGGCCCAACCCTGGGAGCAGGTGGGGCCCCCTCTTCCAGAAGAGTGCAGGGCTGCCTGGGGACACTCGGGGCTGCTTCGGGGACAGCTCAGCTGCGAGGCCCCTGGGTTTAGCGGTCAGCACTGTGGACTTAACCTGCGCTTGGCCGGAAGCCCTCAGAGGATCCTGTGACCCTGGTCCTGCTTGGTTGAGGGTCCTGACGAGTGCATGACCTTGGCTGGGGGTGAGGGGCACTAACAGCACTGACCCTTGGCCGTTCCTGCTCTGGGACCAAGTACCCCAAACTCCTCGGTCAGTTACCCCTGGGGCGGGGGGGGCGTTGGTGAGTCCAGATTTGGACTGGAGGCAGCACTGGGGCACATCTTTTGAGCCAGGAGATGCTGCTGCTGCTGGCTGGGGTCACATCCTGCGGGGGGGGGGGATAGGGGAACGGCCGGGGGGGACCGGGGAAGGCCCCCCCCTAGCCCCACTCGGGGCCCGGCCGGCCTCTGGAACACCTGGTCCCACTTTGAAGGACATAACGGCCGTGGGGCACACGTGTGGGACTGTGAGCGTGTGTGCACACGCACCTGTGGGGACGGGCGCCTCTGTTCCTGTATGCTCGTGAGCGCACACGTGTGCAGCGTACAAGCTTTCAGGTGCAAACTCAGTCTCTGTAGGCGTTTGCGTTTCCGTGTGTGACTTCCTATCAGAATAGGGGCGAAAGCTCTTATTCCTACTTCAGGAGCACTTGTATCAAGAAGAGATGAATTTTACTGAATTCCTTCTTGGTTCCTGTTGAGAAAGTCATGTGTTTTGTTATTTTGTTATTATTTTTCCCGCTGGGGGGCGAATGGTGTGATTACTTTCCCCTCATGCTGCTCGGCTTTGCATTCCTGGGGTCACGGGCTTGGCTTGGGTTGTGTTTTGGTTGCTGGGGTTTCCTGAGCGGGGGCTGCTGAGAGGGGCACAGCTTGGGCATCGCCTTTGAAACCGGCAGGTCTCCAGGGAGCTGTCCACACGGTGTCTCTGAGCTTCCACCCTCTGGAGGGGGGAGGGGCGGTGGGGAGGAGGCAGATGTGCCTGCCTTTGCCCTGCCCGGAGCCCATGGATCCCCGAGGCTGGAGCCCACCCTGCCCGCCGGGCTCCCACCAGCCCCGTGCTCAGCCCCCAGGTGGAGGTCAGGACACAGGCCTCGTGCTGAAGCCCCGGTGTGTGTGTGTGTGGGGGGGGGGCACCCAGTGCAGCCTCCAGCCCCGCCTTCCGCCTGGGGAGGGAGCCCTGAGGTTCTGCAGAGGCCGCCGTGGGCCCAGCGGGACCCCGGCCTGGCCTGCCCCGCGGATCTCCTGCTCCCAACAGTCCGGAAGGAGCAGGTCACTGTGTGGCGGTCAGCACTTCTCTCCGGGGTCCTGCGTGGGTCTTCCCTCACAGCCCCTACCCGGACAGGGCCCACCCTCCTCCCTGGCCCTTGAAACCTGCGCGAGTCTCCTTGTTATCTGTGACAAAACGCTGCCGCACGAGGAAGGTCTCCATCAGTCACATCCTCCTTCCCAGCCAGCTGCGCCGGGCCTCCGCCCTGTCTGCGCCGAATAACTGGAAGGCACGGCCTGCCTCCGTGCCACCCTCGACCTTTCCCTTGGTCTTGACTGTAAACGCGCTCAGAAGTGAGCTGTCCGCTCAGGAGTGGGGGGCTTGATCTCGGGGGATGTGGAAGGTGAGAATCATGGGGGACGGGCAGCCTCAGGAGGGGAGCCCGGAGGGGTCCACAGAGAGACCGTGTGCCCATGGCCTCCTCCTGGGGAGGCCCAGGGACCCGGTGACCGTTTCTCAGAAGCCTGGGCGCGTATTGACCGTTTTGGCTCTGCCAGGGGCGCTTGGGGCCGAGTGGCATGAGGAGTCCCCGATGTCAAGGCCGCCGGGGCGGGGAGACCCTGTCCTCACCCTGCTCTACCAGCTTGTGGTGGGCCTGCACCCCCTCCCCTGGATTTGGGCACAGCCGTGGACTTGATCTGGCCCCGGGTGTGAGGGACACGTGCCGCTTTGGGGGATGCTTTTGGAGTCCACGCGTGGTGCGCCGTGCTGGTGTGTGACTGGCAGGGCTGCAGACCGTGGCCCGTCCGGCAGCCTGGGCTCCCACTGTGTGCACTGCAGGGACCAGAGCCCTGGCCGACCCGCAGCGGGGTGGAAGCCGCTGGCTGTTTGGGAATGTTCCTTCGTGTGATGGATGCATCTGCTTTCTGGTTCCCACCGAGAAGACCGAGGAGTGAACAGAGAGCGCTACTCTGGCTCCTGAGGTTGGGAGCTGGTGCCATGCCCAAGCCAGGCCAGAAACACCTGGAAACGACAGGTGTCTGCAGCAGC